TTTCCGGTTTTTGTCTACGTCAGTGTGACGAGATACGCACGGACGTTCCATCAGTTGGCGAATGATAACAATAAACAACCCCGAAACAAGGGATACGCGAAGAGGACTTATCGCTGCGATTCGACACAAAGCTGGCGAAAATATGAGTTGAGACGGATACCGTCAGCTGGAGTAAAGTCTCGAAAAGTATCGTGGGAGCTTCTTGGGTCCTGACACAAAGGATTTTGTAGTTTTTGTGTCCACCTTAGGGAGAACTAGAGTTACGGTATACCCCTTCCTTAGCCCCTTGTAGCTAGCTGTGGCTCATTCCTTGTTTTTGCACACTTTGTTTTAGTCTGTTATGCAGTTTCCAGAGGACTGTACTCGCACTCGTTCTCCTCCACCACCTCTTCGCTCCCTCTCCCCGCTCTCTCTGGCCCTATGTCTCGCTGGTTTTTCCCCTGGTCGGGCTCAATCAAGAAGCGGGCCTGTCGGTACCTTTTACAGCACTACCTCGGTCACTTTTTGCAGGAGCGATTGAGCCTCGATCAGCTGGGCTTGGACTTGTACAACGGCAGCGGTGTCATCAAGGATATCAACCTCGATGTTTGGGTGAGTTTTTAACCGTGAGGAGAAGGTGATCTTGGCACGCGAGCAGTAGCCATCAAGTGTTTTTGTCGGACTCGTGCTCCCTCGACTATTTCGCAACTACGCTTGAATTCAACAACAATCTCCAGCGTCGGGCTCCCAGCCTAGGTCACATTTCTTCGAGGAAATCCACTCTCAGGAAACGCACCACTAGCTCACGAGTTTAGGTTTACCTCAGCATAAATATATATGCCCATGGCACACTAACTATGCACTTCCTCAGCTTTATATGTCTACACCCAGAGTGATGAGGCAAATGTGAAACCGCATATTTCAATTGTTTTCTTTTACTTTTACTTCTTAGCAGCTGCTTACTAACTGCCTCCTCTTTACAACAGGCGGTCAATGAGCTTTTGGAGTCCCTGGGGGCCCCTCTGGAGATAGTAGATGGCTTTGTGAGCAGCATAACGGTGACCATCCCTTGGCAGGCTCTCTTGACTGATCACTGCACCTTAGAGGTTTCTGGTCTTCAGATAACATGCCGACCCAAGTACCGAACCAGTAAGTTCACTTAAAGTATATGTTCTTTTCATTGAGACACCGAACTCGCCTCAGCCAGCATCTCAGGTTCTTATCATTTCTTAATGTGCAAACCCAGTTTGACAAAATGAGTATAATTATTAAGATTGCATCATTTATCTTCAAGGACACTGCAGAAGATGTAAACAGGATAAGAAAGCATTCATTTGGTACTATTTATGTGAACAAGGACTGCAATAATTCTGCCATATACTTTCATATGTTTGAGTCTGACAGATATTAAACTAATGATGCTAATTTGTGAATCCTTTCAGGTCCACATCTAGCTCAGGCTAAATCTTGTCTCATATGTGTAACTTAGACATCATCTCACTAAAAAAAAGAAATTAAAAGAATGGTAACTAGCCAATGCTGAAATAGCTAAAGTACAGAAATCACTCAGTGCTCCCTGTTTCTTTGTCTTTTGCCATCAGGTGGGGGCTGGGACTCGCAAGGTTGGTCGTCCAGCATGACCTCCAGCATGCAGCTGGCTCAGGAGTGCCTAAAGGACCCCCCTGAGGCTTCAGAGGAGCCCCCTGCCCCACTGGAGGGGCTTGAGATGTTTGCACAGACTATTGAGACGGGTGAGTGAAAGCAGTTTGTCTGCATGCAGATTGTCACTTGTCTAACACTAGAATTACTGAGCCTTTGTTTCCCTGGTGCAAGTCCCTACTACTA